CCCCAAAACCCCAAAACCCCAAAACCCCAAAACCCCATGCTAAATAAATAGTGGAAAAATCTAATAATATCAAATTCTTACGTGATTTATTAATAATGCAGAACATTTTACCATACCAAGTTCAGGGACTAAATCAGATGCCTTATGTCCTAATGACCCCTGCTGCTTCAGCCTACTTCCCAATGCCAATTTCAATGCAGGAAATTCCAGTTCAAGTTAGTAGCCCAGTTGGGCCCTTGACTAACACTCTGGTCGATTGGAACCAAAGTCAGGCTCCTTTAGGATCCTTAGAATGTGGTCAAGCTCATACAGGTAAGACCTCAGCTCTATTTTACTGGAAGAAGTATTATCAACAATAAACGACTACTGAAAGTTAGTATTTCGTCATTCCCAGATTTTCCATATCCTTGATATATGAATTGAAACATTTCCAAGAACTCATTGTAGAAAACCCCCGAATAATGCCGAAATTTTTTTATTGAGCAAGCTCTGATTATTGACTATTTTTACTGATAGTGATCCCTGCTGCTTTTTCAGGCTCAAAATTGACCCTTCTTATAGGTGGTAGTGCAAATAGCCATATAAAGGAGTACAATATCTTGCAGCAAGCTCATTTAGATGAGGGATACTATAAGGAGTGTGGCATAGGTCAACCGGCTTATGCGAATAGACATTTTACTCTCCCATCTCTAAATCAAATTTCAGCAGAACTTGTGGACTCTAATGAACACCAAAGAATTCTTATGACAGCTCCAGATTATAATTTGTGCGAATCTGCATGAAAGCCAATAAGGCAAGGACCGATTCAGGGTCATGAAAGGTCTATGATGAACACTGCTAGTACAAAAGAAGAGGCTAACTTTGTGGAGAAAAGGCAGGGTTCTAATTCAGAATTTTTCACTCTTGAAAAATTTTGAATTTGCAATCAAAAAGTAGCTGATTGTTATAATATGAGCATAAGCTTCCAGCATTCTTCTCATTCAAGTCCAGCATCTCCAAACCCATCAGACGAAGTCCGGACCAAAAAGAGGTAAATTTCGAAATATTTCCTTCCTACAGTTGTGAAAATTATAAATTTAATCTTCTGCCCTCATAATTTTCTTCTCCGATTTGATTTGAGGCTACAAGTCCCAAGGCTTTATAACACTATTCTCTATATTATCATTCCTTCATAATAAATTTGTGCTAGAATATTGTCATAATTTAGAGGTTTATGACAATTCTTCATAATTTCTGGCCTGTAAATAAAGCCCGAGCGTAGTAATATATGTGCCAAAAAATGTCATATGCTTAGCATTTTGGTCAATAAATTAAATCAGAACTGTAATTTACTTTCTCATCCAATTTTCTTATAATCTCATTAAAAGTTGTCTAATTAGAAGTTTTATATATGATAGCTATTGCTTTCATTCACGAAGAGATCCTTCATAATGTTATTGGGGACTATGAGGCTTAGTGTTGCAAGCTGGGGTTTTGTAAGGCTGGGATAGGCTTTTTGGGGAGATGATGGAAGGGAGAGTGGAAAGTGGGTAGGCTAGTGAGGTATATTATTCCTCCCCAAAACGAGGAGATTTAAATAATTTTTCAAGCCCCGCTGCCAAATATGGAACGGGGTAGAAAACAATGGTTGCCACGACTAGCTATTTTCACCAAAAGAGATGGAAAATTAGATTACTGAGTGAGGTTTAAGGCAGGAGGGATGGACGGTAGGGTTGGAGTGGGTTAGGACCAGGGGTTTAGGATATGCGGCAAGCAGAGATTTTGTAGTTTAGGAAGAGAGGGGAGGTTTAGATGGAGGATTTGGGCCCTGTGGGGGGAATTAGGCCTCTAGGGGAGGGTTCTGGCAAGTTAGGGATTAAGAATATCATCTTTTGGTGTTTAATATAAGATTAGATTAAAATAAGAAAATATCAAGAGGGGGTTGAGATTATTGATAAATCATTGTGTGGGATGTCAGCTCCCACCGCGATTAATTATTTCATGCCTTTTGAACGCATTTCGTTAAACTTTTACTTTTAGCCCTGAGACGAACTTCTTGGAAGAACTTGATGAGTATCAAGGAAGCTTCGAACAACTCAAGCCATCGATTAATAATGGAAAGAAAACACATATATTTAGATGCAAGGTTAATGGATGCAACAAGGGCTTCCACAGAGCCCAAAATATAGTGATGCATCTTAGGGTTCATTTTGGAGTTAAGAAATTTTCATGTGATTATTGAGAAAGAAAATTCACACAAAAGGGCAACCGTGATAAGCATATGAAGCTTCATTTGACCCCTAGTATCGAAGAACGAAGAAATATTTCCTGCAAATGGTGAGGGGTGATGTTCACCGAGAAACATAATCTCCAGGTAAGCAATAAAATTCCATTTGGGTCTCTGAAAATTTTTCCAAATTTACTATTAGAAGTAATGAAATTACTTATTTCCTAAGATATTGAAATCTAACCGCTAATTATAGTCTCACATCAAGCAAATGCATGAGATGAAGGATGAATAATATAAATGAGGATTTTACAAATTGAGTTTCAATAGTCCTCCAACACTAAGGGGTTTTGGGGTTTTGGGGTTTTGGGGTTTTGGGG